AAAAAGAAGGATGTTACGGAGGACATGAACAATTAGTATCATTAGTGCAAACATCAACATAACAGCTCCTCACAAATGATACTGAGTATAATTGTTAGATAAAATGATAATTTGGTCTAAAAAGTTTATTGTTAAGTGCAATTAATGTTTTTAACTTTCAATTGACACAACATTTTTTTTTTTGGAAAGTTGAACAATTGATGCAAGGTACCTTAAAGAAACATTTGACCTAATGTTGATTGTTAATTGAACAATTACAAGGGTCAAAGGGTAATTTATGTTGAAAGTTTGTTTAAATGAATAATTAACATCTTGAAGTTTCTATTGATGCAATGTTTTTGGGCACTTAAGGTTCAAATCAAAAGAAGAGCTCAACAACTTGTCATAGCCCAAAAATAATAATAATAATAAATAAAGAGAAAAAATTGTGGATTGGGTTATGACAAACGCCTTTAAGTCAAAATTTAAATTAAAAGCAACATATACACCCATTATCTTTTGTTGACTTGTAATAGTTGGGGACTTAAGCCACAAAGGCACATGTTATTGGTGAAACCTATATGATGGATGAATCACAAGGAAAGTCTTGAATAAATTCCTATTAAGGGGTGGATAAAATCTTTTATAAAATGCTTAAATACTTGCTTGGGTATTGTGAATGATAGAGTGGCCTTATTTATAGGCAAATCAAGGGCAAATTCAAACTTGCTTAAGAAAAAGTTAGAAGCACTCTGGTTCAGTTGGTTTTTATGCTTGAGCAAGATTAACAATCAGAATTCAAAAAAATAAATAATTTTTTAACACTAATAATGAGTTATTGGGCATTTTCATAATTTTAACATTCATCACCCATAAACCAATCTCAATGGTTCATGGACATGTTTGGACTTGCTTCCATGCAAACATGCAAGCTAATAGCAAGTCTGGATTTTGTTCAAAGGCAAGTCCATTGTTCTATGTACTTGACAAAGGAAAAAAAGTTCGGCAATTGAGTAGTGTATTCATTAATAACCAATGAAGCCACCAATTTCATATCCACGTGAAACAACTTTTTGCCTTTTGATGACATGTGTCATATGAGTTGGCTTTTAAAGTTGATTCTATTCTTTTACTTCTTTTTCTTTTTAGTTTGATTTTACCAGTATTTAGATGAATTTGATATTAATAAAACAAAAAATAACGCCTGAATAAAAAAGTAGATAGAATTAAACCATTGCACAAAAAGGAATTAAACCATAGCATTTGGATTTGATGAACACAAAGGCTAAATTCATGCACAATTAAAAGCCATGTCACTGAAATAAAAAAAAATTAGAGAATATATATATATATATATATATATAACTCTGTATATTTAAAATGCTTATTTTCAATTAAAGTATGGGATATGTGAATCTTTTATATATAATATTCATTCTACAATAAACTCTATTATTAACGTTTGAAGATCCATTTGTTTTTACTTGATTGAAAATAGGTATATTAAGTATAAGATTAAGTATCTAACTATTTTTCAAAAAGTTGAATAGTGTAGATTAAAATAAAACAATTTCAAACGTTAGACACTAGCAGTTAAATTCAACTTTTAAAACTCATAATATGATCCATTTATTTTTTTTAAAAAAAATCTGATCCATTAAAATCAAGATTTTTTAGAATTTGATAATAAGATCTCTTTTGACTTTTATGGATTATGAATACAAGATTTTTCTCCCCTTTATGTTTAAATACAACTTGCAATTCCATTTTTACGTCACGAAGTCAAAATCTAGAAGGAATATTCTATGAGTTGTTAAACTCATCAGATATTGGCCAAGGATTCTTCACTCCTTATCAATCTAATACAATCTGGTTTATTAATTCATTTATTTCTTTTTCAATCTACATTAAAAAAAACTAAAATATATTTTTAATTATCTAACTTTATATAAAATTTTAAGTTGATCCCTTAATTTTATAAAATATATTTTCAGTTTTCTCTCTCCAATACCCTTAATTTTGAATGGTTATTTTTTTTGTCTCAATCATTGTTATTTTTAAAAAATTAAATTTAATATGTCAACATCCAAAAATATTTTGTTAATATTTAAAATTTAATGTAAATTTTTTTATGATAAAACTAACAATGCATAGATTAAAGAACTTAAAAGACACTTTATAAAATTAATGAATCAAAATGAAACCTTATGTAAAATTATAAAACTAAAAATATATTTTAATCTAAAAAAATTAGACCAACACGACAACAAATATGATATTTTATTAATAAAGAAATAAAAATTCTTCTCTCCTCAAATCTTCCAAGAAGAATCAGATTTATTAATTCATTTCAGACCCTATATAAGCCATCCTAGGGCGAAGTCAATATATAAACAGAGAAAAGCAATATATATAGACACACTTTGGAGATAAGAAAGAAATGAAGGGGGAAAAGGTGATGAGATCAATAATAGTGATGGTTTTGGTGTTGCAAGTGGTGATAGGGCAATCAGAAGCAATGTCATTCCTTACATGTTTTGGGTCTTGCATGCCGCAATGTTTTGCTAGTGGTCGGCTAATTAGTACCACAATCTGTTCTGCTGCCTGCATTGCTCAGTGCATTCACCATCACGATGGAAAATACTTAGATGATGGCCAATATCAATGTGCTTTGCCTTGTGCTAATGCTTCTTGCACCAACATCAGTACTCGCTCTAACATAAGTAACTTCTTTTACCTCTTTTATTCTTTCTTTTTTAATTAAAAAAGTTAGACATCAATTGCGTTAAGTTACAAGTCCGATCAAATCCGCGATATATTCATATGCATTCACTAGTGTGCTACAATTTTTTTTTAAAAAAAATTACTTCATTCGTTAAAAAATATAAGATATTTTTAATCTTTTAAAGTGTAATTATTATTTTTTTTCAAAAATACTCTTATTGATAATGATTTTATATTTATTATAGAGTATTTAATAGAGGTTAATATAAAAAGATAGGGTTAGTTAAAAAATAGATAACTATTTTATTGAGAAGTAAAATTTAATTAAAAATATAAAATATTTTTAAATAAAAAAGTATAATTATGTGCCTGTTTGATGTAATGTTGTACGATTTCAAAATAGCATCTTGATAAACGTAATGAGCTCTTTTTTTTTTTTTTTGCCAAAATATGGTTCTATTTAAATGCATCTTATATATATTCACAAGTCTTTTGTGCTTTTTAGGGATTGGCCAAAACAACTTCTTAATTATTTCTTGTAATCTCATCCTTGATTCACTTTTCATTTCATTACATGTTAATGTTCTGTAATCTAGACTTATTAAAAGTTCCCGCTCCCCCTAAAGTGACTGCTACATGTCATGTCCGTCTAGCCTCTGCTCTCCGAATTTGTTGATTTTTCAAAAATTTAGATTTGGAGGTGCTCAATTTTTTTGCATTTTAATTTCTTTTACAAAAACATTTTTTTAATAAAAACACAAGCCAATTTATTAGTTCCTGAAGTTCATATGTTTAACAAATTGAGGATCAATTTTGACGGTTTTATTTTCCTGCTTCAGTAAATTAAATATAAAAAATTTAAAAAATATATTCCCTCCTATATGTACGTTCCATGTGGCAGAGAAAAAATTAAATTTTCTTGCACCAAGTTTAACATGCTATAAAATTCAATTAATATATTATATAGGTATCTCATTGATTTTTTTTTTTCCAATTTTTTTTGCAGATGCAGAGCAAGTCTCAAACTGTGTGGATGGATGCGTAAATAAATGTGTTTAGACTTTAGACTCATGGGCAAAAATAAGTATGCAATACCCTGAAATAAGTACTATTAAATGTATTAGTATTCGTGCCGGTTAAAAAATTTATTAGTATTGCATAATTCCTCTTGAAATGATAATCAGGCCTTTTAAAATGTCATAATTTTTTTAAAATTTTTAGGTATCTTTTTGATATCAATAATTTTATATTAAATGATTAAATTACTCCTTATTTAAAATAAAAAATTACAAGTTCACGTGGGTTATTACTTAATTTTTATGATTCACAAAATAAAAGTTATGATCGCTCAAAAAAAATTATAACTGGTTATTTTTAAAATTTAAACTTTGATAATAAAAAAATTTATTTAAAAATTATGATTTATTATTTAATTTTTATAATTTACATAATAAAAGTTGTAACAACTTAAATAAAAATTATAATTAATTATTTTCAGAACTTGAATTTTGATAGTAAAAAAAGTTTCATGTGAAAAGTTATAACTTTTTATTTAATTTTTACAATTCATGAATTTCATCCTCATCATACTTGTCATGAGTGCAATATAGCTGCAGATTCTCTTGCTAAAGTTAGAATGGTTGCAACTCCTGGGTTTCATGCTATCTTCCAACCTTTGGATGACCTTCAAGATATCTTAGAGCAGGATTGGTCGTTTACGGCTAACATTGTTCTTATGTAGGGAGCTTTGTCTACCCACTTGTTATTATTAAAAAAGGAATTAAAATTGTTATTATTTAAATAAAAATTATAATAGAAATTATTATTTTTAAAATTTATTTATCAATTATAAAAAAATTCATATAAAAATTTATAATTTCTTATTTAATTTTTAAAATTTATAAAATAAAAGTTATGGTTGAAAAAATAAAATTCAAACTTCTTATTTTTATTTTAAACAAGAGATAATTTAATCTTTTAACTTAAAATTATTATTAAAAAATATTAAAAATTAAAAAAAAGTATGATATTAAAAAAATATTATTATTATTTAAATATTTTAATAGAATTTGATTATCATTTTTACTTGCATGCTTTTGTGAAAACAGTAAGGTGATAATAATGAGTATTAAAAAAAATGGTTATAATGGCGAAAACGGTTATGATCCCACTCGGACACTCTGGCCCAGAAGGAACCGACACATGTATATTGTATATACCGCCACGTATCCATGTGGTCCCACATGAGGTATCGACGAAGGATTATTCCCTATCTAGTGATCTACTCCAATTCTCCAGATCACGGTCGCCTCCCGGGCCCCTTGACCCTTAACAACCTGCCCTTTCCCGATTTGGAATCCAAATGCCCTAATGGATTGAATCTTCAGGAAATCCAAGTTACTTGCCTTGATTCTCTTCGTTTCTTTCTTTCTTTCATTTTTTTTTTGTCAAGAACCAGAATCCCTTTTCCATGGCTGCCTTTTCTCCTCCTCCCCCCCTGTGTTTTGTCCTGCTATGGATTCTAGGGTTTGGGTCCGGGTCAGGTATTGCTTATGCTTTCAAGGTTCCTTTCAGAGTAAACGATGCGCTTCCTGTTCTTCCTCGTGGGATTTCGTGGCCCGTTCTTAATAACTTCCACAGTGCGGTGGATTTGCTCCCGTATTTTGTTGGGTCTGTGACTGCCGACAATTCATCGATTGAGTGGAAAGGAGCGTGCTTTTATGAAAATAAAGCTAAGCTGGAGTTCACCGCCGGGGACAGGGATGATCCAGGCTTGGGAGGTGGCATTCTCTATCTCCAGGTTTGTTATTCTGCTTTATGTGAAGTCTTGAAGGTTCTATTCTATATCTGTTTTCCCTGTACAATCTAGATATGATGGATTGCCTAAGTTCGTGGTCAAGCAAAATAGAAGATAACTCTTTGTTATGTATACCAGGCAGTGTGTTTTTAAGTTTTAACGATTTTTTTCGCGAACTGAGATCATTTCTGATCATCTTGCATGACGTGTTGTTCATCATGAATATGGAAATTGGAAGTGGTTGGGCATCGTCATTCTGGATCAATATTACTGATTTTACTTGATAATGCGTTTTATTCTGATTGATTCATGGAAATAACTGCCATTACCTGCATGCATATCTGTTCTGGAAATTCAATTTAAACGTGCATCTTTCCATTTATTCGTTTAGGCAATCGAATAATACTAGCTGATTTGGATGGAAGTTGCTCGCCTCATTGGTTCATGCTTCTATATTAAGTTTCATTCTGACGCTCTCTCCTTTCTTACTCTTTTCTTCTTTTTTAACTGGTCTGAAATATTAATTATTGTCCTTCTGCAGACATCCGCTGCTCACAGCTGGACCTGTATGGATCTGTATGTGTTTGCAACTCCCTACAGAATTACATGGGATTACTACTTCTCTTCTCGAGAACATACCTTGAAATTTGACTCGTGGGAAGAGCCTGCAGAGATGGAATATGTATTTTCTATTCTTTTTCTGTGATTCATTTTGAACATCGTATCCTTGTTACTGAAGGTTAACATCCTCGAGCAGGTAAAGCAACATGGGGTTTCTGTGTTTCTTATGCCATCAGGGATGCTGGGAACCCTGCTATCCCTAATTGACGTTTTACCTCTATTCTCTAACACTGTGTGGGGTCAGAAAGCCAACTTGGACTTCCTGAAGAAACACATGGGAGCTACATTTGAGAAGCGCAGTAAGCCTTGGCGTGCAACTATAAATCCTGCAGATGTTCATTCAGGAGATTTCTTAGCTGTGTCAAAGATCCGTGGCAGGTGGGGAGGATTTGAGACATTGGAAAAGTGGGTAACTGGTGCATTTGCTGGTCATACTTCAGTTTGCTTAAAAGATGAAATGGGCAACTTATGGGTTGGTGAATCGGGGCATGAGAATGAAAAGGTATGCTAATTGAAATATAATAATTGTATACGCCACTTTAACGCTGTTTGGTTGGACTCCCCTCCCCTTGTTTGAAAAATGGAGGGGAGCGGCTCCCCTCCCTGTGGCCCCCCTTATTTGGCAAAAACATAATGGAGGGGAGGGGCTACAAATTGGGGGACATTTGGAGGGATCCTCCCCTCCCCCCCCCCTTTCCAACCAAGCATGGCCTTAAGATATAATGTTTTTGTTACATCCTTTCAAAATTATCTTAGTAGAAATTGAAGTCGTTATGTACTGCTTGGTAGACTGAATATGTTAATTGCTTCATTATTGGTTTGATTTAAAGCATTTAGTCTTTGTTCTCTTTTCCTTATCAGTGACCATAAAAATGATTATCTCATTCAAGTGGTCTACCTCTACGCAGGGTGAAGAAATAATAGTGGTAATACCATGGGATGAATGGTGGGAACTGGCTCTTAAAGATAGTTCTAATCCCCAGATAGCCCTGCTCCCATTGCACCCAGAGTTGCGTGCAAAATTTAACTCTACTGCCGCATGGGAGTATGCACGGAGTATGTCAGGCAAGCCATATGGTTATCATAACATGATATTTAGTTGGATTGACACAGTCGCTGACAACTATCCTCCACCTCTTGATGCTCACTTGGTATTCATCTTTGCCCTTATGAGCTGTGTGACATAAGCATGTTATGAGCGAGTTTTGTGAAGCGGTTGCTGTATTCCTTGGTCCAGGAAACTGTTTTATTGACAAATTAAGTAACAAATAATTATTTAAAAACCTTTTCAAATATGAATTGGAAGGATAGTCTGGGAAGGAGAATCAAGAATGTGCCTTTTGACTTTAGAAGGCAACTCATTAAACCCCGAAAGAATGGAAAAAGGACAATGTAATGGGGGGAATTTTCTATTTTAAAAAATCTTGGCTATGCCTTGCTATCTTAGTGTGGTAATATATGTACATGCTTTATCAGTGGTAACTGAATTTCTAGATCCCAAATACAAGGGAGACATCAACTTGAAGGGTAATGGAAGTTTGTTTATGAGTGATATGTTTTCTGTGCAGGTAATTTCTGTCATGTCTATGTGGACTAGAGTGCAACCAGATTATGCTGCAAATATGTGGAATGAAGCTTTGAATAAGCGGTTAGGGACTGAGGTAGGTATAAAGAGCGGGGTCTGAACCATTTAGATGATATTTTTTTCCATCTGTGCTCTTTTTTTTTTTTTTTCTATTTTATGTATTTTGATTATTTATTTTTTTCTATTCCTTTATCATCTAGATGTTACATAAACTCTCCCTCTCACTCACATGCACCAATGAAAAAAAGGAGAAAAAAATACATGCTTTCTTTGTTTAATTTCTTTTATTTTGTGTAGAAATATTTTGTCAAAACTATGAGGGATACCAATTGCTCTTTGGATTGGTTATGTTTCTGGCCCTAAAAGACTAAAAGTTCAACCTGTTATTGAAAATATATGGTGTTGATAGTGTTATTCAATAATAATGGTGTTGATGAGTTATTCAACATGCTTAATGGTTGACTTCTTTCCCTACTATGGTCAAGTGTAAATTTTTTTTTTCCCCAAGATTTTTGATCTTTTAAATTTGAGCTTTACGAGTTAAATACCCTTCAACCATGAGGATGAATGAAATGCTCGGTTTCTTGAAGTTCTGTGTACTGGACTGAGCGTCAAATGTTAAAATACTTTTGCATGGGCCAAATTTCACTGAAGATATCACTTATAAATTTAATAATTTATACTTTAGTGGGCTGGAAGCAACGCGTGTACTTCAATGAAGTATGAAATGGCTGTTTCTGTTGTAGTTGATAGGGTCCTCACATTTTTGCATGCTTCCAGGGTTTGGCTCTGCATGAAATTCTGGCTGAGACTGAGAAGCGTGGGATACCTTTCGATCAATTACTTACCATTCCAGAACAAGATGAGTGGGTATATAGTGATGGAAAATCAACAACATGTGTTTCCTTCATTCTCTCGATGTATAAAGAGGCTGGAATATTTGGATCCGTTTCCAGCTTCATTCAAGTAACTGAGTTCACTGTTAAGTCTTGATATCCTTCAGTGACCTTGCCTGGTTTGGTTTTGTAAATCTGGATGAATGATTGCTGGTTACAATCAGTTAGTCATGTGTTTATGTTATTATTTGCAGATTCGGGATGCCTACATGCTCAAGATTTTTGAAGATAACCAAACACGACTGCCAAGCTGGTGCAACAATGAGAGTGACCAGCTTCCCTTCTGCCAGATTCTTGGTGAATATAGAATGGAACTACCTGGCTATAACACTTTGGAACCATACGGCAACATGAATGAACACTGCCCTTCCCTTCCCCCAACTTATGACAGGCCCTCACGATGCTAAATCCATTCGCTTTACCATCAACGTATTTACACCTATTGATGTTATTTGAATTGCCTGCTGGCTTTATACAAGCAATAACTTAAAAAGGGGAGGGGGGAACTTAAATGCTGTTCTGAGGCAATGTAGGGTTTTTTAAACAAATGACCGCGCGTCATTTTTTTATTTGATAGCTCGGTAAAGCGTTACCACGTTTTCCTGTACTGGGAATATACCAATCTGGCATGGCCTGCAAATCACAGAATACTAGAATACTGTATCTTCACGAGAATGCTGTTTATATGCTGCGATAATTTTAGAGGTTTACAAATTGATCATATGGTCCCGAGGTTTAATCCTCCTTGTGTGTAAGTGTGTTAGGGATCCATGCGAGTTTCTCTTTCCCTTGGGTTTGAGTTCTTCATATTTGGTAAAATGGGCAAATTGCAGTTCTTTTCGTGTTTGTATGGGTCTTCGGAAGACAATTTTTGGTCTCTGTTATCAAGTATTTGTGTCATTCGGTGCCTTTTAGAAAGTATTTTCCTCTAATACTTTGACTCCTATTTCCATAAGAGTTCTTGTACAGATTTTTGTGTCAAAAAGGTTAGCTAATGGGATCACTCTGTCAGCAGAAAGAGGATTCGCGGTGATTGGATTTGGATGCATGGCTTTAATTTGGTGTGTGATATTAATTCATGTTTAGTGTTGGATCGTGTCCTGGATAAAGTTTTCTAATACAATACTTTTGCAGAAAAAATTACTTTAGTAGCTGAAAATTGTAAGTGTAATGTCAAAAGCATGTTAATTTTATTTCTGCAGTTAGAAAAATGCTGAAATAAAAAAAATAAACACTTTACGTGATGTTTAATTGTATAAAAATATTGCAACTCCAATTAACTACTTGTAACTTAATCATTCTTGCCTACAGCCAGTTGATATGTTCTTAATTATCAGAATTTAATTCCATTTTTATGACCAGCGCCAGACTTCAGCAATAATATAATAATAAATCATTCTATTATTTATATTTATTATCAAAATCTATTGAATCCGTAAGAAAGTAAAAGTCAAAATAATTTGCGTCTCATTTAAATAGGATTAATTTTAATTTTCTGACGAATTCCTATCCAAACCACCCTTAAAAATATAGTATGTAAAATCAGACAATAAATACTTCATTGCGTTCACAAGGAATGCGTCGGCCTCTGTACAGTGGAATAGCATACAATGTGGTATGTCTTACATCATCATCAGAAAAATTAGGATGATTTTAATCACGTAAAACATATGTTAAACGAAGTAATTATGAACTTGGGGAATTAAAAAAAATATTGAGGGTGTTCATTTTTCGTCGGAAGCTTCTTTGGAAAAGGACTCGCCAGATTTTTCTTTAAAAAAAAAAAAGAAAAAACCTGTAAAGATACTTTAAATGTATAGTTGCCAAGCGTCCAAGTTTGACCGTTCAAGCGTTGCAATACCAACTGCCATCGAACGTTCTAATTTCCGTGTCTAAACGTCAGACATGACGCTTAGCATCAACCCAGAAAACAAATATAGCACAAATGATTATCGGTAGTTGGGTAGAAAGGATTCACAAGGGAAAAAAAAATTGAGCCTTATAAACAAAGTAAATTATGCTGAAAAACTACATTCGACAAAATCAAACAGACAATACTTGAATATAATTCACCAACAATATTTGATCTCGTAGTTGGTAAAAAAAAAAAATTAACTGCATAGGTGGTTTATCCACTGAATTTGACTGTGAATGAAAGAATTATAGCAGCAAAGATGTATCTGGGTCTATATGTCAATACGCTCTGATTCCTTGTCCAAAGCTGTGAAAAATATTATTCGAGGTTCATGTAAAATCTTCACATTGATATTATTATTAACATGGCTCTTTTAACTAGTTTTGAATTTTACTGTTGTCCACTGTAAAATAACAAAATTTCAAGTACCAGTGCCTATATAAACATTTAAAAAAAAAAAACCGTGGCAGGAATGTGTCAACGGACTGAGCAATAAAGTAGAAAATATGAAGAAGTTTGATTTTGCAAGACATCAAAAATATGGCATCCTTTCTAGAACGATTCAAACATAATTGACATAACAAGGACTTACTTGGCAGATGAAATAAAAATAAACAAGTTGAGATAAATATTAAAAAACATATTTTAATAATTTTTATGACAAAACATACTTTTCAATAGTCAAGATTAGTTATTTGTCAGTGTCAAGGCGGCGGAAGGTCTTACTTTTAAGCCTATAAGCTTCTCCCACGTGTCCTATTCCTCCTGGCCATCTTATTCTGTTGTTCAGCTACTTTGCTCCCTTCGTTTCCCACTTCAAATTCTTTTTAATTTTTTAGTGTTACTTAAGGATTCTTCTCCTTAAAAAAAAAAAAAAAAGTAAGGTTTGGCCGTTTGGCTAACCGAAAAATGAAAAAACTTTTATATTACTTAATAATAAAATAAAACATGACAAAGGGAACTTCCAAGTTCCAAGCTGCAATTGCAGTGCGATGACAAAAGCAAGATGTATGCATGGATATATAAAAGTCAATGCGTTTCCCGTTTCTAAATCAAAAATCTAATTTACACGGAACTCATAAATTTTGAGAAAATTACAACAACACACACACAATTTATTTAAAATATTATAAAATCATGTTTCATATATATATATATATATATACATCATGAAGTTGGCATCAAGAGTTAAATTATAATTTAATATTTTATAAAAAAATATTTTCTTTTATAAAAATACAAATTTAAACCTGACGTTAACAAAAAAAAATAATTTTACCAAATATAGAAAAAGTGATTTCGTTTAATAAATTTTTGCTGGCACATGAAAGTTTAGAACCAGCAATTCTGATAAGAATAGAGAATACCTCTAAGTTAAAAGAGTGCTCTTAAAAATATTTAAAACTGTCTACTAATAATATCCACACATCTGTAAAAGAAATTTAAACCAATGATTTCATGAATTATGAGATAAATTATAAACCAACCTTTGTGTTTGTGAGCTAAAATGGTTGTATGCACTATACAGACAGCAGCAATGTGGTTCAAACAATTTACCTTGCGATACCGCTTCCAGTCGTGAAGCATAGTAACACTATAGAAAACGACGGCGTTTACCGAGATGGCGCGTCTTCCTTGTACTTGCGGAGGACGGGCTCTAAAGAAATGACACGGACAACTTTTCAACGACCTCCGCGTCAAAACTATTTTTTTTTAACAGAGACTCCATACGCTTAAACTTGCCGTCTTCTGATTCTCCATTTCAACTCTTATATACATCTTCATCCTCATTTTCCTTCTCCATTTTTTTTCTAACCAATCAATTCCCTTGCCTAAACATGAGACTCCATCTGTTCTTCTTCGCAATTTGTCTCTACCTCTCTGTCTCTTTCACGCCCATTTCAGCTCGATTGTTCCCTAATGTTTCATCCATACCTCCTTGGCTTACCAAAAACGTGCCTCCCGGCGCCTGGGATGCCTTCCGGAACTTCACTGGCTGCCGTCCAGGGAATAGCTACGACGGTTTGGGTAAACTCAAGAAGTACTTCAACCACTTCGGCTACATCCCTACCACCCCTTCCAACTTCACCGACGACTTCGACGACGCCCTTGAATCAGCCATTAAAACTTACCAGAAGAACTTCAATCTCAACGTCACCGGCGAGCTCGACGCTGACACTCTTCAGCAGATTGTTCGTCCGCGATGCGGCGTCGCTGATATAATCAACGGCACCAGCACCATGAATTCCGGCGAGGAGAATACCTCCGCCGCGAGTAACGATTTACACTTCCACACCGTTTCCCACTACACCTTCTTCCCCGGGACTCCGCGGTGGCCCGCCGGCAGCCAGAGTTTGACGTACGCTTTCTTGCCCGACAACGACCTGACGGACAACGTGAAGAGCGTGTTCGCCACCGCCTTTGATCGATGGTCCGAGGTCACGACGCTGACTTTCACGGAGGCGTCATCGTATCAATCGGCGGACATCAGGATAGCGTTCTACTCTGGGGACCACGGAGACGGAGAGCCATTCGACGGACCTTTGGGGACTCTGGCCCACGCGTTTTCACCGACGAACGGGAGATTCCATCTGGACGGTCAAGAGAACTGGGTGGTATCCGGTGATGTGGCGCAATCGTCGCTGTCGACGGCGGTGGATCTGGAATCTGTAGCAGTCCACGAGATCGGGCACTTGTTAGGATTGGGACACTCATCAGTGGAGGAGGCGATCATGTACCCGACGATATCGTCGAGGACGAGGAAGGTGACTCTGGCGGATGATGATATTCAGGGGATCCAACAGCTTTATGGATCGAACCCTAATTACAACGGCTCCACCACGGTGACGACTTCTCAGGAGAACGATTCCAGCCATGGCGGACGGCGACTCAGTGTGGTGGAGTCAACGCGGGGGCTCCTCCTTTTGGTAGCCGTTGGATTAGCCCATTTGATTTTGTAGGTTTTCATTCTTTTTATTTTTTTATAGATATTTTTTAAGGGGAGGGATTGGCCCATTGGGTTGGCCTTGACCAAGCCTCGTTTTTGTTTTTCTTTCACATTTTTTGTTGTGATTATAGAATGTATCATTCTTATATTATAGCTAGTTATTGATGTAGTTGTTGGCGCCTGCACAGCTCTGCATTGTCATGGTGCCATATTATGATAGGTATTGTTTATACATTTTTGTTGAATAAGGCTTCGAGAATGTTTTATGCGTTTTATTATTATTATTATTATTTTGTTCAGGATTGAACTTTGGCTTATTAATTTGATGACCATATGATTTTCACTAACTGTGCTTTTCAAAATTTGACATCTGAACTTCATTCAATTCATGTTAGCAAGAGATTCTGGGATTTAGTAAAATCATCAATGAAAGGCATATACTCAGGAACTAATGTCCAAAATTTCACTGCTCCTTGGAATTTTTTTATTTTGTTTGCAAAAAATAAAAGAAGATTAGCTTTAGCATCCCCATATTCAGGTGATTTTAATTACCCCCCCATATATGTATTCCTAGATTCGTTTCTATATATACTTTGCTGTAAGTTATGCATTCTTTAAAAATTATCTGATATGTATCACGGATTTAGTTATATATATATATATATAATATTATCTGATATGAATTACTAGATTAGACTGATTTTTACTATCAACGAGCTTAATTTACTTAAAGAGAATGACATATTTTCTAAGGTGAATTAGTTCAAGTTATGCCAAATTAGCCATAGTAGACGATAACGAAAATGTACAGACAAGTCCACTTAAATGAACAACCAAGTGTCCAAGTCACCGTCATCTTCATCCAAATGCAGAGCCAGAGGTGCTCTCCTGCTCTGTTTGAAGAAGATGCCCGAAGTCCTTTGTCTTGAAATTTTGTTTCAGTTATGCTTTATAATTTGAGCAAAAATTCCATGCAGCCATTAAAGCGCAGCGTCTTATTAAGTGACATTAATGTTGATCCTGCACTTTACGTACAATCTTTTTTTTTTTGGTTCAAAAAAAAGGTGATATGTCTGCGGGCTCAGATAATAGTGCGGGTTTTTCTCGGGGAGCCAATAAAGGCCCAAATAACGACTTTTTAAAATAAAAAAGCACGACCCATTGGCTTTAGTGTTGCTCAGAAAATGGAACTAAATTACCCGAAAAACGTGCATGAGGATAAAAAAAAAAAACCACAAGGGATGGAGCTTTATTGCCAAATTTTTATATATTACTAGTGATGCATCAAGGTTTAAATTTTTTTAAATGACTTGTCTACATTTAGTGCTTGGCAATATTTTGAATAAGATTGCCACTCAAACATGTGGCTTCAGAAAGAAGCAGCAAAAAGCAAAAATCTTGAAATAACAAAACTATTTGCGCTCAGTTTCAGATTCTTGCAATCATTTAGCACGCTGCCAATAAATGTGGGGGCCATATTTAGCTAACGGACTACTTGATGGGAGAACAACCAAGAAGCTTGAGACTTGCTGGAAAAGCAAACAGTAATAATAAAAGCACGACTATAAAAGTGAAAAATGACCTTCTCACTGTTTATATATACCAAACACTCTGTTGGAATAATTTCAGGTGGAAAAAAAAAATAAAAAGAAATGAATGGGGTACAGTTGAAATGATGACAATGTGATATTCAAGTGAAATTTCAGAAAGTAATCCCTTCATCTCTATTTCTTTTCACTTCATTTCATCTAAAGTCGCTTAAGATGTCCAAATCCATAACCTCTTGACAAACACGTCCAAAGCAATAATTTAAAAAAGAAAGCAAACAAAGACAGACTCCATACAGCAAATCTTAGATATAAAAGAGGAATTAGCACTGACCAGAACTGTCCTTTAATTTCAATTGTGGGGAAGCTGAAACTACTCTGCATACACTTAGGGACTGCCAGCATGCTGTAAATCTGTGGAAACAACTCATCTGCCCAGAATAGTGGAGTGATTTCTTCATACTGCCCGCTGATGAATGGCTCAGGCGAGGAAGGAAGCAGGGAGGAGTTACTTAAGCAAGGTACAGTGGAACATAATCTTCTATTTTTGTTGGGAACTTCGGACAACAAGATGCCAGAAACTTTTGAGGATGATGGTGCTGTCTTGAAAATTGACCCAAAAAATTGCATATTTTTAATTAATATGGATAAGCGGTTAGTAGAATATATATATTGGACAGAAAAGGGTTCCTAACTTTCAGCCTCATATCAGTTCTTCTCTGGATAATGAAAGCATTGGAATCAATGTTGATGGTTCGGTGTTAGCAAATGGTGCGAGTTTTTGAGCTGCAAGATTGCCCAATGGTTCTTGGATGTTTGGGTTTTACTGCAACTTCAGCCTTATCCACCAGTCATTGCTGAGGTTCTGGGAATTGCGAAAGCTCTGGAAATTAGCTGGAATAAAGGCCTGCGTACCATCGAAATTAATTCTCTCGGATTGTGGGAAGCCATCAACCTTCTCACAAGGGAATTGCTTCAACAACCTTCTTTCCAGCACATTATTCATGACATTTGATCTTCTCAACAAGAAGTGGAATGTATCTTTCAATTTCATCTCTAGAGAAGAAACTCTCTTGCTGATATCTTAGCCAAACATGGCCACTATATGACCCTCCGATTTGGAGGTCCTTGATCAGTATCCACCTTTTCTACAAGATGAGGGACATGTTTGTTTTTCCCCCCCTTGCTTTGTTAGTTTTCGTTTTGCTTGTCTGACCTTTTTGTATCTGTACTGTTTATCCGAGTAATTAATGATTCAGTCTGCATTCAAAAAATAAAGTAGAAAGCAAATGGCGTCACAGAGAGATTGCTACACTCCAGAGAGGGCAGACAAACGAACAAAACAAAAGCCTTAATTAGCGTGGTCTCATGATCTCATCTAGAAACTTCCAGCATCAGCCATTTCCAATATTATTCATGGAAGTGGTGGACTTAGTCTATGTTCTTCCTCTTTAACTTTAAAATTTCTCCATTTGAACCTGAAAACATCCTTGGAGGACATAAACCGCGTACGCTAGCATGGTCGCGAGAGGGAAGGACATCACGCCTGGGGGCCACAGCCAGTAGAGTTGGAAGCGTAAGTTGAGTTTATTGAGCTACCTATTTAAGCATGCTTTCTTTTTCAAGCGTTTTGAAAACACAAGTATATTAGCTTAAAAAAGCTTTTGAACACGATTCCTTTAATCCTTTTAAACCATGAAAAACAGGTTCGGGTCCAAACTAATTGTTTAAGCTTGGGTTTATTTTTACCCAGGAAAATTGCGACATTTTATATCTTTGGATTAAATTTAGATTTTAAAAAAGTGTTTATATTTTTTTAATTAGAATTTGCGTTAGTCATTTTAGATTTTAGAACATTTTAACTTATGCTTTAGAGCATGAATATGTGATATTATAATTGCAAACTCAATCATAAAAATCTAAAACGATAAAAATAGTCTGGGTCTGGTCCAAAATCTAATCAATGAAGGCTGAGCCTGAAAAAATCACATGTTCACAAACCTATGAGATTGATAAAAACTTGGTGGTATATATAATTTTTAATGTCGGCTCCCATCATAGTTAAATGCCAATATCAACCCTGCATGGTGTAGTATGCAAGCAGATGCTATCCACAAGCAGCACCTGATATGATTATGAGTGATTTGAATTTGATTACTAAAAGACAGCGGAGACAGTAAAGTCCAAACGCAAAAGAATGCAAGAGATGAGGAAATTTCCTCCAACTTGATGGAATGATGTGGCCCTTATCTCATTAAAAAAAACAGCCACTAGTAATGCCAAAGCAACAGCCACTCTAATTCCTTCTTCATATCCCTTCGCCAGCCAAACATGTGTGCTGGAAAGCACCCCAACTTGTTCCCTCACGCCCTCAGCTCTTTTCCCTTATTGCCCCTTCTTTAACATTAATATTTGACTTGATATCATTCGTGCTTTACATAATCTGCCTCCAAGTTGTCACAAGTTACAGAATATGATGTGATTTTAAACATCCTTGATCCTTCCAAGCCTAACACTCGTTCTTTTAAAATATACTCCCTCCGTTTTATTTATAAGGCATTATTTGCAAATGACGTTTTTATTTCATTCAAAATATTTTTAATCATTAATGAATTGGATTAGACATGTTAAGAAGATCAATTGTAAAGTAAATTTAAAAAAGGAATACAATATTGGCAGGATATTGTAGTGAATTTAGTAGATAGTGTTAGTAAAGCTCATCCAATCTCCTAATAAATTTGAATGCATATATTTCTGCTGAGTTTGGTAGGATGGTACGTCAAAAGCAAATTCAATAATCAATGCAAGTAATGATTTCCCTGAAAATTCTGGAACCAAAAAAAAAAAAATTCTCGACAATCCCAAAATCCCCAGTTGGAAGTGGTGACTGGGGTTCAACAAAAGGGGAATAGAACACTGTCGTTTGTGCAAAGCGAGCGTTCATGGTCAACCACGGCCAGGTCATCATCTGTCCACCTTCGCATTCATTTCCGACATGCTAAAATGCGCATCCGCCTACTCGCTCGTGCTAAAGTGCACCCGCCTCTTTAACGATCCCGCGCTATATAAACCTAACCACCCCTAGCGAAATCCCCAAGAAAACGAGAAGCCAACAAGGATACAGAAAACAAGAATGGGACTTCCCTGTTGCCATGTCACAGAGGATCAAGAACAGCCGACGCATGACAATTCCGATCACCTTCATTCCGAATCATCAACTGCTTCTTCCCTTTCTTCTCAGCCAAGTCTACCTTCTGTTCCTTCGCTAACTCCTCCGGTGATACCACCCTATCAAACCCAGAATTCTCCTCAGTCTCATCACCAGCTCGTAACCACACTCACTTCGACACCTTCCTCTCCCATATTCACCTTAACCCTCAATGGCAAGTTCCTTTACGCTGGCTCGTTCAACAGCGATATTCGCTCATGGAGCCGAGGCCCCGGTTTTACTAGCAATCCCCATGGCGATGTCGTGGCATCCAACAATGGAGCAGTGAAATCCCTTGTTGTTTCCGGCGACAAGTTGTTCAGCGCCCATCAAGATCACAAAATCCGGGTCTGGAAGATCCAACCTGACTATCCGAACCAGAGTTTCAAACCCGTTGCGACTCTCCCTACTCTCGGAGATCGTTTCTGCAAGCTTTTCTCGGCTAAGAACTATGTCCAGGTACGACGGCACAAGAAGTGCACGTGGGTTCATCACGTCGACGCCGTCTCTTCCCTCGCTCTGTCCAGTGACGGGACCCTGCTTTACTCTGCTTCGTGGGATCGAACGTTCAAAATCTGGAGAACTTCAGATTTCAAGTGTTTAGAATCCGTCCGGGCGCACGAAGACGCGATAAACGCCTTGGTTTTGTCCAGTGATGGGGTTGTTCACACTGGTTCTGCAGACAAGAAGATCAAAATATGGAAAAAGAATGAAGGTGAGAAGAATCATTCCTTAGTGGAAACCTTAGAGAAGCACAAATCAGCCGTGAATGCACTGGCATTAAGCACCGACGGGTCAGTGTTGTACTCTGGTGCGTGTGACAGATCAATTCTGGTGTGGGAAAAGGATGGAGGGAAGATGGTGTTGGCGGGTGCTCTGAGAGGGCACACGAAGGCTATACTGTGCTTGGCGGCTATGGAGGATTTGGTGTGCAGTGGATCAGCTGATAAGGGTGTTAGGATATGGAGGAGGGGGCTTGACAAGAGTTATACATGCCTTGCTGTCTTAGAAGGTCATAAAAGGCCAGTGAAGTGCTTGGCTATGGCGGTTGACTCTAACAAATCCTGTAATAATAATAATGGTGGCTCCGATACTAGCAATACTTATCTGGTTTACAGTGGTAGTTTGGATTGTAACATTAAGGTTTGGAAAGTACAAGTTTCTTTGTTCTGAGATTTGACCTCCATCTTTCTTATATCGGGAGAAAAAGAAGTTTTTGCCGTAGGGAATTAGTATATAGTAAGAGGGTGAAGAATTAAAAGGCATATAGATGATTGAATGCCATATACTTGTACACATTTGAATTGTTCCTTTGTTCCTTGTTTTCACAAGAGGGAGTGATGGGTATGCTACAATTTATTGATTAAATCAATTCTTGAAAGGGTTTTATTTTGAATTGTTTGGATGGTGGTTGGTATAGATAACTCAAGATAAAGGATTTCAGTTAGGTTAGAGTTTTATATGCCATACAATTAAATTTTTAACTTATCATAGGAGTTTTATGTTAAGCTATACTTTGTTGACCCTTCGTATTGATTAATAGTATTAATTAAAGTTTTCAAGTCAGAGAATGTTCGGTGAGTTTTTTTCCCTATTGAGCCGTCTTGTTGTTTTAACTTTTGAGCAGGACAGGATGGTCGTGTAGGTTGAAGCGAAAGCTGAAGGGTTATCTAGAAACTTCTGACTAACTTTTCCTTCACGTATAGTTGGGGTGTGTGTGAATATTACTGCAGAAATTTCTCAGTAATAATATGTTGTTGGGACCACAAATAATGGAATCTTAAAAAAATTCTCAGCTTTCATACGAAATTTTGAATTGCTACCAAACCTAGAAGGAATTAGGAAAGGACTTCCATGCTAGCATTGTCTGACCACTATATTGTCCTTGATTTTTTTTCTAACTTGAAGTCCAAAATCCAAACATCAAGCAAAAAATACTCACTAGGCATCATTGAGCTAGAAAATAATGCATAACTCTCTTCACATAATCTTCAGATTTTGCTTGTTCAGACTTCATCCAGAGGGAACAATAGAGCACCAAAACTACTTCACGCATAATACTGGGCCAATCATAGCTCAAAGACCCGTTCAACCAACGCTGACCAGAATGATTTGGTGATTTAATTCAGGGCAATGGAATCCAAATATGATGTCAAAAACAGATATGTTAGCAAGTTCTATAGATTCTGAAGCAACAAATCATTAGTCCTAGATGGACATCAAGGATAATGGGCCACTGTTTCTTCATCCATCCAATCATTTGTTCCCGATTTTTTTTTTTTTTTAAATATCAGTGCTTTCACAGCGGGAGCCCAAGCCAGCACAGATAATGATGATTAATCTGTCCACAGCATCGTTGGATCATGAGTTTAACTGAAAAGGCTGAATGATTAGTCCATTACCAAGTTCCTCATCGTATTTTCATCATTATTCTGTGTTGCAAATTGCAACTCTGTAGATGGGGCTAGTCTGCACTCTTTCCTCTCAGTTTTCCTCTTCATCACACCAAACATGAAACTAGTAATTATGTCCTCAGAATTCTGGTAGATGACTATACAAACTCACTCACAAAGTAAGATTTGCTTTCTCTACATGGAAGAAGGCTCGCGAAGGACACTCGACTCGACAAGAGCATATCAACAACTAACGCATGATGGAGCATAACTTTCAATATTTTATCATATATCTGCTTGTACAAATTTATGTTAATCCATTTTGGATTAAAGTAATGTTAATATTACAACATTATGTTGAACCACCTTGGATTAAAGTAATGTTTTATTAGAGGCATAAAAGGTTTAAACTGCTTATTTTATTACAAGTGGAGTTATATGAGTTAGGCTAAAAGTACGAATTCTCCATTTTTATATCCTAGCTGTCTCTTCTTGTCTAAAAGAAACGAATTCTTAATTCTGCAGGAAGGATTTAAAACAAGAAAATATATCCTCTTCAAAAAGGCAATTAGGAGAATATATCAAAACATATTCTTTGTGGGGTTTATGTTCTAGAAAAAAAATCTTCTTTCCCCTAACTCTAAGTTTCGTGTGCACCCTAGTTTTAGCCACGTCGCTAAGTATAATGGTGAAAAACCGCGAAGTAACTTTCTAGCAATTTCTTGTACATGGTTTAACTCTTGATTAGATTTAAAACTGCTAATAGCAATCTGATCGCGATATGACAAAATGCTTTAATCAAAAACTTTGAACTTTAATTTATGCAGTGCAACCGGCGATGTAGGCCAAACGACTGAGGACGTTCTTGAAGCAGAAATCTCTGGACTTTTAGTCCATACCTCCTCGTGTAGTCAGGCTTCATGTGAACAAAATGAGAGAGAATTTGCACCTGAAGGACACAATGCAACCAACCAATTCAGTTATCAACTCATGATTGCAAGTCCAACGGTTAGCATAAGGTTGAGAAGTGCAGTTCTATCAGATTCCAAACATAGCAAACCCCGTATTGTAAGGCATATCAGTGAATCTAAGTATTACCGCAATATTAAATTTTGCATAGCAAAGTTAATTTGGTCATGTCAATTAACTCCAACCCGCTAGTGGTGGTGCAGATATCTCTTGTTGCTTTCAGCCATGATAAACATTTTAGAAAGAACCTCAATTACTGCTAAACCATTACATGACCTGAATGTCCAAGAGAAAATTGAAGTTCTGCTTATAGCAGGTCATTTTTCTAGTTATGTAACGTGAGCCGCATAAACATGTCACTAAGGTAATGATTCATGTGATCGGATCGACCTAAACAACCATTTTGACAGGTTTTTATCAGTATTTTCACTAGTTGACTGAGAAAGGTGAGTATATATAAGAATTTCTCTAACATGAACAAAAAATTAGAAGTTTCAGGACACATCAGTGTTAGCCTCTTAGGTAGAAGAACATTACAAAAGGGAATCAAAAGTTCTAGTATATACATAGAAACCACAATCAACTGTCAAAGATAGCTCGTCCTTATGGGGTCCATGTCTGAATTGAACCGAGAAAAACGAGGAGATGGACCTAGAGATACTACAATGTCAGCAAAGCCCTCTAATCGAAACGCCAAATAGAATTCCTAGCAACCATTTTCATCAAGCATCAAACTCGTTGATCCTCGCAAATGCACAATTATGAATTCGCAGAATCAAAGATTGAGCAAAACGTACCCTAATTATCATGAAGGTAATTCTTCCAGAAGCCGTAATCTAACAAAATGCGCAAGCTTAACAGTACTCATTCCGTATATATTTGGTGGAAATAGAAATAAACAGGACAAAATAAGCATTGGGGTGTCAAATTCCTTGTAGAAGCTGCTGCTTCAGAGGAATGGCGAAGACAGAAACATGCAATGACTAACCATGGAAGTCTGAGAAGCAACGTGCAATAGGCAGTGTTCCATACTTCAAATTCGTGGCTGTATGGTCTTTTGCCACAGTTTAATGTAATATTGAAAATAATGCTGAACTGTAATTCTGTTATAGAGAAATTCACTGAATGAAAATTGCATGAATGTTTGATTGATTTGACCAAACTTATAATTTATAAAAAAAAATATTTACAAGTAGTTATTGTAAATTTAATATAATACTCTCACATACTCTCAACAAATTAATGAGGGGCTTGCAAAATGTAGGCATTGTGATTATTTTGTTTATAAGTAAACTTTTATTGGAATGATAACTCGGGACGGGGCCCGAAAAAAATCACTCTTCTTGTGTTATTATGTATGCCGTAAAATTTTAAAGAACGGTTGTTTGGATCGAGACTTTCAACATCAAATTAAAGGAAGTACCAAGATCAGTGGGATAAACTCAATTTCTCTTAATTAGAGTTGAGAGTTAAAACTGCGTAGATAGAAAGAGTAACATTAAAAAAAATCACCCCAAGTTAATTTAATAATGCTTAAATTAGACTTAATATTAATGGGAGTGCCACATATCAAATGGTTATACAAAAAATTATCACAGCCTGGCCATCGAAACCCTCGTCCTCTCAAGTTTCACTAAGAAGCTCAAACACAAAGCAAATAATGATTTCATTGATGTTCTCATGATAGAAATGGTTCTTAATTATCAATTCATTCACAAATGAGAGGAAGATAATTCCCACTCTTCATTTGGGTGAAGATATTAAAAGAAGGAAAAACGAAAAAGAAGCTAAGAAAATGATTGAGCCTCCATTTTTTCAAATTATATTTGACTAAAGTATCCTTGAGTTTGTTTTTGTCGCACTTGACTAACTTGATAAGAAAGAGGGACAGTTAAAATGTAGGAAAATAATTAACGTTTTATTCAAATTGTAAAGAGAGCCAGCATCAAACTCCAAATTAAGCGCGCGACAGTCATGATGAAATGGAGGGGAATAATTTGAAATGCCAACGATTATAAAAGTGAAAGCTTTCTAATCGGTTCCCTCGCAAAGATAATAAATTAAAGGGAGCATTTTCAATAAAGACTTCTTGATTATATTTAATTACATTCAAAATCTTTAAATTTTTGAAATTTCATTATAATTCAGGAGTACTAGTTCGATATTAATTTTAAAGAAAATGACAAAATTTTCCTATTTTAAAATTAATATCAAGACTGTCGTATTTCACCTATTCATTTACTTATTGAATATTATTAATTATCATACTTTGCTTGTTTATTTTCTTGGAATGAAATTAATTGAAAGTTTGGTAATTAACAAAGTAAAGTAGAGCAATTAATAATAATTTGTAAATAAATAAATAATATACAATATAAGAATTAACAAGTTGTCTTGAAATAATTTAAACATCTAAAAGGAAAACAAGTTAAGTAGGGCAATTAACAATATCTCGTGAGCAAATGAATAAGTAAAGTAAGATAATTAATAAATGAAGTAAGAAACTATTGATATTAATTTAAAGAAGGGGCAATTTTATTATTTTTCTTAAAATTTAATATCAAATTGGTATCCTTGGACTGCAATGAAATTTTAAAAATTTAAATGCTTTAAATGCAAATAAGTTTAGGGTCCTTTATTGAAATTCACCCTAAATTAAAAGTGGAATGGGGTGGTTTTAATTATATTTTTAGTAATAAAATGATACTGCAAGCTAGTTGTCAAATAAATAGGACACATTCTAATCTTGCACCTCTATTAATTTTCCTGTATAACAGGCTGTGTTAAACCCCTTTATAAACCTTTATGTGCATATAAATAGCAATTAAAAAGGCGTTATACAAGGTGAGAAAGAAGAAGAAGTCAACTAAAGCGCGTTGACTAAGGGGACAAATTCTTACGTGACCATGTTAACTTTATTAACTTTTACCAACATTCTCGTGCTCCCGCAAGTTCTTCCCCGTGTCGTGTCACGGACCCACACTCCAACACCCTAATTCACGAATTCAGACTCTCTGGCCATGTATATTCATAA